TTTTCAAATAGATCAACTACCGGCTCCCAACTTGTTCCATCCTTGTAATTTGCACCAAGGGAAACACCAAGATATTTGATAGGAAGCAGAGAAATTTTCCAGTTCAGCACACGAGCAAGAGATTCAGCTTCATTGTTTAGGCCCATACCAACCAGCTCAAACTTCCCCATATTAATACGAATCCTGGAGACAGCTTGAAAACAAAGTAACATACAATCTCAGATTGAGAAGATTGTTGGCTTCAGGTTGACAGAATAGTAATGTATCTTCAGCAAAGAATAGGTGAGTTAGCTCAATTTTCTTTTCCTTCCCCACCGTGATACCTTTAATGAGGCTTAGAGTTCTGGCCTGTTCAAGCAATTTATTCAAAGCTTCCATAACTAGAATGAAAAGCAATGGAAAGAGAGGATCACCTTGTCTCAAGTCTCTTGATGCATTGACGAAAAATGAGGGGCCTCCATTAATCATGACAGCAAAACTAGTTGAGGAAATACACATCCTAATCCACCTCCTCCATTTAATCCCAAAATCAGATTTCTCAAACATGTAATCAATGAAATCCCAACTGACATTATCAAAAGCTTTCTCCATATCTAGCTTACACAGTATCCCCCTTTTCTTATTGCGTAACAGATCATCCACAACCTCGTTTGCAATCATTATCGCATCGGTAATCTGCCTTCCTTCTACAAAGGCATGCTGGCAGTCTCCAATGATTGATTTAAGAGATTCTGAATGTCTTCTGGGAAGCACTTTTGCAAGGAGTTTGTAAATAGATCCAATCAGACTAATGGGCCAAAAACCACTGAAGCATTTGGCACCCTCTTTTTTGGGAATCAGCACTATAAAAGTGGAATTTATGGATTTTACGAATGAGCCATACTTATGGAAATCATTAAAGAAATCAATGACGTCTTGTTGAAACCATCGGGTCCAGGGGCTTTGTCACCATTACAATCTTTTAAGCAGGCAAATATTTCTTCTTCGTTAAATTCAGATTCCAGATACACCTGATCGGATTCCCCGATTATCGAGGGATATTTTTGAAAGAAAAATTAGAAACAGGAGATTAAAATGTAAAAAAAAAAATTTGACCACGTGGGACAGCCCAGTCAGCAATCCTAGTGAATCGGAGCATGCTGCATGGCAACCCCATTGACATCAGCACCACGAGAGAAGCCACGCGAGCGATTCACGCTCCCAGCGATCCGACGACCTAGATTTCATCCCGCACAAGTGAACGATCCAGATGCGTTCTCTCTTTAGATGCAATTGGACGGACAAGATCAATTGCGATGAACAGCCTAGATTTGCCCATGCAATCAGTCTAAACAG